CGTTGGTTGGCCCACTGTTAGAGCCGGTCTTCTTCTTGCAGCTGCACATGGATGGGAATCGAGACAAGTTGATTTTACTCTTGCTTTCTGTCAGAGTCCTCAGCCTGCCGACCAGCCATTGTACATGGAACTGCCTCAGTACTATCGACCCAAAGATTATGAAGGACAGGACTGTGTTTTGAAACTTGACAAGTCCATTTATGCATGGGCAGACTGATTCACCCAAATTGTTCTATGAGCATCTATGTCGTGGGATGGTCCAACTTGGTTTCGAAACCTCAGCAGCAGATCCTTGTTTATTTATTCATAAGGAGCATCAACTCGTGGTATTAAATTATTGTGATGACCAAATCTGGCTCAGTCCGGACAATGATCTGATTGAGTCCTATGTTGGGCAGCTCCAGAAGCTTGGATATGACCTCACCATGGAAGAAAAGGGAGACATCTTTGGGTTCCTTGGTATCAACTTTGAAAGACAGGGAGACAACGTGGAAATGACTCAAAAGGGGCTTATCAACAAGGTTATTGGATACACTGGAATGTCTGAAGCTAATAGCTCTAAGCCATCCCCTGCTGCCACCGATCCTCTTGGCGCTGACAAACTTGGTGCCCCGTTTGACGAAGAGTGGAGCTATCCACCTGCAGTTGGGATGCTGCTCTACATTGCATCCAACACTCGCCCAGACATCACTTTTAGTGTACATCAGGTGGCAAGATTCAGCCACAACCCCAAGCACTCACACGCTCAAGCCATCAAACGTATCGTTCGATATTTAATTGGCACAAGTGACAAACGCATTTGTTTCAGCCCTAAGCTTGATCAAGGGCTTGACTGTTGGGTGGACGCTGACTTCGCAGGGTTGTATGGATATGAGGATGATCAGGATCCTGTTTCGGTCAAGTCTCGCACTGGTTTTGTCTTGACTTTGTTTGGATGCCCTGTCATTTGGTCCAGCAAACTGCAGACTGGCATTACTCTGAGCTCCACTGCTGCTGGCTGAATATGTTGCCTTGTTCAGCATGTCCATGAGGGAGCTGCTTCCTATGCGAGCCCTGCTCAAGGAAATTGGTACCAAACTGCATATGCCCGTAATTACTGACAGTCTCGTGCGCTCTACAGTGTTCGAAGACAACCAAGGTTGCCTGTCTCTTGTGAATGTTCCCAAGATGTCAGCCCGCAACAAGTATTTGGCATTGAAGTACCACTTCTTTAGGTCAAATATCGGGGAGTCGAAGGGCATTGTAACCAAGTACATTCCGACTCTGGAACAACGGGCCGACATCTTCACTAAGGGTCTGCCAGCTCCACAGTTTGCAGTCATTCGGAAACTCCTCATGGGATGGTAATCTACCTCAGCACGTTGCTGGGGACTCTCTCCTATCGTTTCTTGCTACAGCTTCATTTCAGCTGTAAGGGAGTGCGACGGGATACAGCTTACAATTCAGCTTTACAGCTTTACAAATTGCAGGCTTATTCTAGAAAATAATCAATAACTGCTCACTTATTTGGAAATACAAACTTTACATCTCTTAGATCGTTAGATTAATCAAACCACAATGGTATTGTCGCACTACTGAGTTCTACGCCGTGGACGGACATGACCCCACCTCCCCTTGCATTGAGTTATGGATGGGAAATTGGGGAGCAAAGGCCAAACCGCAGAGCTCCAACTGGAAGGAAGCCAGGACGGTTCTCGAGTCTCTGAGACAAGAGAAGGGGAAGAACCGGTTACAGAACAAGGTAGTGTTCTACTTCACGGACAACCTGGTCAGCTACTACATCATCAATGGAGGGAGCTCCAGGAGTCCAGGGCTCCATCAACTGGTCCTCGAAATCAAAGAGATCACAGCAGAACTGGGGTGCTACCTGGAAGTAGTCCACGTGCATGGGGTCTTGATGATTGACCAAGGCACGGACGGCCTGAGTCGAGGACTTTGATTGGCATCAGAACGACGGCCCGAAGAAATCAACCAGACTCTGTTCGAGTCGGCCCCCTACCAACCAGCTCTGGGTCTGTGGGCAGCCGAACAGCTCGGTTATCGAGGAGTGTGGCCCACCCACATGGAATTCACTGAAGTCCGAGACATCCGGGTCATCTCTGGGCGGTTGACTATTTGGACCCCCCCCCGCCAGAATGCTGCCGACAGGTCCTGGCGGCCTACATACACCGTTCGGTTCAAACCCCCTTCAGCTCCTGTGCCATCATACTGGTGCCCAGAATCATCCAAAAGGAGTGGGGTCACATGGCCTTATATGTGGAGGAGAGAGGAGTCTACCTGAGTGAAGCTTTGCCGGCCTCGTGCCGTTTTGATTCTAACCTACCGTTTGTCCTATTGCACATTCCTCGTCATCGCCCTATTCTTCGATGAGATAGAATGGCCATGCCTACCAAAGCCAAGCCTCCGAGGTGGCACGAGAGACAGGCTGAGGAGGTGCGCGGGCTGTCATAAAGGGGCCTACGGGATGAAAGATACCCCCTTGGTATGCTGCTTTGCCAAGGAGGGTTTTGAGTTGGACAACGGAGACTGGTGCAACCCCTGTGGGACTTGGTACCACCCCCAATGCCTCAAGGTGGGAGCCCCTTTCAAGTCCAGGCACCCAAGTGGGAAGGGATTGAGCTTCCCAATCACCGCTGAAGCTGAAATGTTCCCAAACTACGTGTGTGAAGCCTGTCAAGTCCGAGCAGTTCTGAACCGAGAGCTACAAGCAACGGTGAATGATGGGAACCTCCTGATGTTAGAGAGAATGAGGATGATCAACAGTATGCACCGTCTGGCTGAAGGAAGCCAGTCCACATACAAGTATAGACTGCGCAAAGTCAGAACCTTCGAAGAGAGATACGGGGTAGCCATCTTGGCCCCCACGAAGCTGACCAAACCATCGACAGCGAGAGCCATCCCACTAGTGTGGAACCACATCGAGTCTACCCGATACCCAGGAAAAGAGAAAGACTCTAGGATCAAGTTCTCCACGGCCAGAGGCCTACAAAGTGCATGCTCCTCCTATTACCAATGGGATGCCTTCATGTGCGAGGACACTTCGAAAGTCAACGGGTCAATCAACACTGGGAATGAAAAACTCTGCAGAAACGCCATTTTTTGACCCGGAGAAACACTTTTTTTCCTGAAGCAGGCTGGCGTGCACTCTGCAGAAGCCCTCGAACTCTGCAGTTCCGAAAGCCGGCATGGCTTTTTCTGTCGGGAGGTTTTTTTTTCTGCCGGGAGGGTGTTTGTCTCTGGCAGATGACTTTTTTTCTGCCAAAAGCACCTGAAAACTGCACAGAATGGCTCGCAGAGTCGATTCATTGTTTGGCAGAAGGATTTTCTGGAGCAATTATCGTTTGCAGCTTGACAATTACTTAGAGATGGATACCAGGCAGGCGTGACGAAACTAGCAGTAAATAAATAGCCAGTCTCTTTTTGAAATCTCAAGGCTGCGATGACATCATTGACATTTAATGCCACGGCACACTTTGGACCTAAGCCCTAACGTCTCTCCTGCAAAACGAGAACCCCCATTAACTGTCTCATTAACCCAGACTCTAAAACGAGACCCCATTATGATGTCGAGGAATACATTAACCCACACTCTAAATCAAATCGAACGATTAAGATCGACCCAGTCCCACCAACACCAGCATATTTCAAAAGCACGAGTCACAGTGATGACGTGAACCTTGTTGACTTCGAAGAACATCCTGTCAGGTTCAACTCCCACAAGGAACTGGGAATGAAAGAACTGCCCAAGAGAGTTGTGCTTTCATTCACACATCTATAAAACCGTTGCAAAAAAAGAGCAGTTTAGGGGGGTTGGGGGATAAAATAGAGGATTCTACGGGAATTTTACTACTATTTGTGGAAAGAATCGTAAGTTGGGTAATATTTAAGGGTCAATAGTGGGGTAAATACCTAGTTTTCTAGGGCTTTTGGGGTAGAATGGAGATGGCCCGGGGGGATGGGGAAAACAGAGGGGCTACAGGATCCAAATCATGTTCACAAATAAAAGAAGGTTTTGAAGGGGGGGGGGGGCTGTAGTATCAATGACCTGGAAGAGCTCGAACGTGCTTTCGAATCCAAGGACGGCTGGACCAAAGGGTCATACCCACAGAGAATCTGAAATACACCTTCGTGAGTGCTGGGATGAAACGCAGGATGGGTACGGATGCCAACCAGAGTCAGGCCATGCAATACGCACACATCAAGTTCCTGGACGAACAATTCAGGCGAGGATACGAGGGTACCCCGGACCCCAAGAAGAAGCACGAGATGGTCACAGCAGGATGCGTAAATCTGCTGTTTTGGCTAGGATGGCTCCGGGGTGGAGAAGGTTTCTCTTTGACAAGAGATGATGTAGAGGTTATCTAGCCAGAAGACAGTATCCGACATGGGCTGCCAGCCGGCTTGGGATACATCAAGGTAAAGCTCCTACCGGAACCAAGACGTCACCAGGAAAACAAGCCGACGTGGTGACAGCATACCATTGCTGGTCAGGATTGAGTCTGGGCTTTTGGATGACGGAACTACTCAAGTTTCCCAAGGCACCGACAACCGGCTGTTTTCCACCCCCAAGAAGAGGAAATGGGACAGCGGGTATTACCGGTCCCAGTATGTGTGGCCCCACCTAGAAGTTCTGAAAGCCATGGGAGAGCCCTCCCTGCAGAACTGCACGAATGAGGAAGGGCACCGCATCAAGGACCGCTTCTACTCCATGCACTGCTACCGTCACGGTACGGATAGCTACGTACTCAAGGACCGCGAGGAGCACAAGCGGAAGGCCACCACGGGAGAAGCCTATGAGCATGCTAGGTGGAGACGCAAAGCCCGTGGGGCCACAGAAGAAATGCACAAGCATTATGAAGAGTGGCCGCTCCATGAGCGACTACACAGTACGTTATTTTGTTATTAAAGGTTGATGACTTCCCCTCCACATACGAGTGGATCAAAGGGGAAATTTTGGAAATTGGTAAAAGGAAATCCGAGGGGGCAGTCATATTCGCGGTTCATTCCTCCTCCTCCTCTTCTTCCGACTCCTCACGCTTGCGTTTGGAGTTTTTCTGTTTGACATGCCAGGGGCGCAACGTCAGCTTCTCTTTGGCCAAGCGTCTACGCCACTGACGGTCCACCTCAGTCTCTGCCTTCATCTGGGCCTTGTCCATGGCAGCAATGCGGATACTACGACGAGTGGCAATGGCATGGCTGATGGCTCGTGGCTCAGAGACCCCAGCACGCATCTGGGCCAAGTAGGCGGCCCGACCAGCATTCAGAGCCTTGAGACGGGCCTGGGTTTGGTATTTCTGTACGTGAGCCTCCAACTCAGCTCGGCGGTGCTGGAAACGAGCAGTGCAATAAGTCGAGCCACCCTTGTCCCAGATGAAGAGTATGTTCAAGTACGGATCCTGGAGCATCTTGGTACCCGGCACATAAACCCCCTGGGTCGCCACCTTGCTCGAAATCAAGTCCGAATGAAGCATGTCCACGGTGCGGGGCCTTTTATGATCCCACTCCAAGTAACGACAGTGGTCATGGAGATCACCAAAGGGGAATGGTGGGGCTTGGAATGTGTTAGCCTCCGAAACTACCGTCTCGTTGTTCACTTTGGCTGGGTAGCGGGGCGCCACTGGGACCACGGCCACCGCCACCGGCTCCACTGGAACCGCCACAGGAACCACTGCCACGGACCTCGAGGAGGAAGAGCTGCCACGACGCGAGGGGACACGGACTTCAGCAGGAATGGTCAAGCCCTTCTGACGACGATTGGACATCGCCTGGGCCATCGCGGCCAGATCGGGGTGTCCTCCACGAGCCACCAACCATTTCTGGGAGTGCATGGGTATAGGCGCTTGGCCCGAGCTCTCAGGCGACGAGCGGCCAGGCGTTGCTTGACTCCCTGCTGAATCTTGGCAACCTCGTCAGCAGTCAGAGCATCTCCAGAGGGTGCCGTTTTCTTCTGAGCCGGCTTCTTCTTCTGCTTCACAGACACCTACAAGTAACAGAAAGGTACAGAAGAAGTCGGGTAGTTTCCGATGAGAAACATCGAGGAAGGGGCAACCGGCAAGGGTTAGATACTTACCGAGTTGGGCGACGGGCCAAGATCCGCCATGGCCTCATCGAACAAGAACACTTTGTCAGAATCACACAAGGACTCCAAGTCAGAACCGGTTTCGGCCTCGGCCTCCGCAAGGATGCGGGCACCCAAGGAAGACATCTTATCGAGTTTTGGAGCTAGAGCCCAAATTTGTGAGCTCTAATCCGACTTTGGTTGTTCTCGCAACAAGCAAAGTTTGCTGCCGAGCAGTGGAGAACAGTCCGACGTCAACGGCTGAGACCCCTTTCGTTCACAACGTTTCGCCCTTCTCAAGGAGGAATCACGGTTAACGGCGGTCGCAGCTGGGAATCACCCCCAAATCCGGAGTCGTGCACGAACCTGAGTAAGGTCCCACACACGGGATTGTTTTTGGGCGCGCCGACAGGGTCCCGTCTGACCGTCAGCCATTTAGGACACCTCCAACGAACACCCCATACGGCTGGCTCTCTTCGCTCCACCTCTCTCTTCGCTGAAGCCTCGGCACTACCTACTACCGACACTACACAAATACCAAAAACTACTCCACCATGACACGAAACCAACGGGCAGAGGAAATCCTCAACCGAATCAATGACCTTGCCGAAGAACTCTCCCGTATCCAGGTAGGCGGCTCCCGACCACGACGCCGCGATCCTCACCGCCATCTCTTCGTCGGGCGCAAGGTACTCATCACCAGAGGGGACAAGTACCATGGCCGCATTGGACATCTCCACCGCCGCCACGAAGACAGTGACTACTGGGACATCGAATTGGACCTCCTCGACGGTCAAAAGTGGAAACAGATCATCTACAAGACCCCAACAGGTTTCCGAGCGTATCCGCGAGATGCGTAGCTCTCTCCTACTCCTTCGACGACGCGGGCTCTCTCTTCTACGCCCACGTCTACCAATCACGTGACTGCCTCCTTCCAAACAGTCGCCTACAACCTCCACAGCTTCTATCATCAACTACACTAACAACAACAATAACACAACCGCGGGTACAGCCGCCTACAACCAACAACAACAACAACAACAACAACAACAACAACAACAACAACAACAACAACAACAACAACAACAACAACAATCACAGCCGTGTTGCTCACGGCTATCTACAACATCTACCCATTCAACAGGCCCGATCTCCGATCGGCTCCATCAAGGCGCTGTCAATTCTCCAGCGCGGCAGGGGGGGGGGCTATTTTCCTTTTTCTGTCGGGCACCCCTGGTAGTACCAGACGTTTCACTCCATCCGGAATGCTCGAATAAGGGGGTAAATTTGGGGACTGGTCCCGAGGAGCTCTCTAGCACCTCTGGGACTGGTTTCCAGCTTTATCTGGAACCAGTGGGGGGGAAGGTCAAATAACATATTAGACCCATCTGACGAAAGATCTTGCACAGCCTGAGACTCAGCCGGCTAAACACCACAAACACGTCAAGAATTCCGCTGCAGCAAATGGTGGAAAATCCAACACAACATAAGCTCAAGGAATTCCTCACTGAGGCTCAAATCCAAATGGTCGAACACAGCACAGAACGTCAAGGAATTCCGCACTGAAGCTCAACTCAGCACAGAACGTACATCCAGGCATACAGGAAATCCAACAGAGCACAGAACGTCAACTCTGAAATCGTGAGGGAGTGCTATTGCACTACGCTAAAAGCTAGTGTAAAGATCTTTCGAGTGTTTTGAGTTTGAGAGAATGAAAGTTATTGCTTTTCCCTCTCGTGAATAGTCATGAGACAGGGTTCTCAATAGACGCGTCTGTATACTAGGTGATGATGAAACATCGCTCTAGATATTATCCAGCGTGGAGTACTTCCACGCTACTAGATCCAGGCTAGACAAACCTTCCACGCGTTCCGTTTTAGGATCGTGGAGAGATAGGATTACTACGCAACCTACTCTATCACCTTTATAGTCTCCCGCGGGAAGCAGATCTACGATCCTTGATGATGATCCTCTCTCGTTGATTAGTTTCATAGCTTCTTAATCTCT